GCACTTATTTTTTCAGGAGGATTATAGCCTCTTTGAAAGAAATAAAAGTAGCTGAAGGAAGAAAAGAAGAAAGTATGAAAGATCAGGACCGGGAAGAAGCGGCATGTAAGAAGAATGGGGGACAAGAGAGAGAAGGACATTAGGGGGCAGGTGATTTTGTTATTTGGGTAAACTGAAAGGAAGAAATAAGTTGGCAGAAGAGAAAGTAAGCTTTTTGCCTACTTCTCTGACATGCTATGTGCAGAGCTCATACTCTTAATTATGACCAGTAAGGTAATTCTAATTAATTTGTTTCATACCACCAGCACACTAAAAGCAGTAAAGTCAAAAGATGCTCACTCTGGCATATGGGTAGGAGAGAAAATACTAGTATGTTTTAAAAAGTAAACATGGAAGAATACTATCCAAAGGAAAGCGGACACTTCTGACCTAGGATAAAGAAAAGATACCTGCACACCCCACTGTCCCTTTCTTACTTTGATAAGACGCAGGATTTCAGGACAGTCCTGGGGCCCTGCTGCACGGATTCTGAAACAGCTCATGGCACCAACACTAATTTCAGGCCTAAGGGAAGCAGGAGGCAGCAGAGGACTGGTTACTTCTCAGGAGGAAGCTTATGGAAGAAGCTGGGATGCTACTTGAGATCTTGCTCCTCATTCACCATTTCAAAGGATGGACAAAAGGTAAAATGTTTATTCCTTCCCCTCTTCCTCCTCCTCCACTCCCTGCCTCTTCCTGGGTTACATGCTGCCCTGTTTATACCCTGAGTCTTACTACCTTTTAAACTAGCAGCCCTTGAGCAGGTGGAGAGTCACAATGGAATCCAGCATCACAATCCCCACCTTTCCCGTGTCTCAGGGTAATGGCACAGTGGCATACTAGACTCCGAATTCATTCACTAAGAACAGGAAAGAAAAAGGCAGAGGACAGTCTGTGGAGTGTTCAATTTGAGCAGTTGCCTGTCTTAGCACTAGCTATGGGTTTTCTCAGGGTTTTTTTTTTAATTATTTTTGTTGGGGGGGTGCCTAGAGCTGATGGCCATCATCTCTTATCTTTTCTTTGATTTCTCTGGGTAGCAGGTAGACTCTTTCACAAAGATAAGTAAATTGAGAAACATCTGCAAGTAGGCTGTACATATTAAGCTGAAGGTGAGAGCACTGGGAGTGCTGGGTGTCCGGGAAGATTCAAAGTGAGTCAAAGACATTCATAGTAGGGTACAACTGGCCAAGAAGTAGGGGAGGAAATCAGCAATAAATGTAATCCATTTTTTCCCCCAACCATAGACTGATTAACTACCACTCAGTGTTTAAGTTTTATGTTTTTCCTTTCTTTCCATTTCATGCCAATATGTATTTATCCTTCTGCTTCCAGCTTTTTAGCTTCTATTCCCTCTGTTCCTAAAGTATATGCACCCCAACTTTTTTAACTTTTATGAGCATACCAAAGGGGTTTTTTTGTTGTCTTGGTTATTTTCACTAGAAATAAGGTCAAGTTTCCACTTTTTTGTTAGTTTTTTTTTTCTTTTTTAGTTTCAAGTCATGGGAGTCATACTGGTGTCTTCCTGCACTTCCTATCCTTTTTTTTGCATCAAAGTACCTTGCTCTTCACTCTTAATATTACTTCCTTAAGGTACACCCAGTTCTCCTGGACTTCTTTTCCTGTCACTTTTGCCTTCCATGAAATCCTACCTACCATTTTCCTGAGTTTGCAAAAGTCTACTCCACTAAATTACAGTGTCTATTCTGCTCTCCTTTATTTTCCTTAGGATCTTGAATTCTATCATTTCATGGTCACAGTCACCCAGCTTGCCTTCCACCTTCATATTCTTGACCAATTCTTCCTTGTTTTTGAGCTTCCCCCATAGTTAGCTTCTCCAACATCGGTACCAAAAAGTTCTCTCTGACACGTCACAAACTTATTGAGCTGCCTGTATACTGCTGTGTGGTCCAGCCACTAAATGTCATAGTAACTGAAGCCCTATGATTTGGATGCTTCTGTTAATTGTTTGAAAATAGTAAACAGGCTGGACCACACAGCAGCATACAGGCAGATAGTCACTATGACATCACTTATACTGTTCTCTGGTCTTCTCTTGTCCCCAAGGCTTTCAACAGGCCTACCTTCTACTTCACACTGCACCTCAAAACAAATGTACACTTCTCTTTAAAAAGTAATATCAGTTCACTTTTCCACTGTCTGTCCTTCCCAAACAACTTGCACCCTTGCATGACAGTATTCCAGTCATGAGAACTATCCTGCCAAGTCTCAGTTATCCCAATTACATCATACTTCCCTGATTATACTAGGACTTGCAACTGTTTCTACTTATTCCCTATGCCTCTCACTTTAGTATACAAACATTGTAGATAACTAAGCAAATGCCCAAATTTCTAAGCACACTGTTAAGGCTCCCCATATTGCCTCTTCTAATTTGCTGTTATCTAGGTTATCTGGCTCTTTTATCAACAGGCCTTTGTCTCTGTCCACCGTTGAACCTAATTATCTCTACAGACACAAGGGAAATTATAATTCAAAAAGATTTTTTTTCTATAGTCATAGAATCATAGAGACGTAGGGCTGGGAGGGACTTCCACTGGTCATCTAGTCCAACCCCTTGCCTGAAGCAGGGTCATCCCTATCTGAACCATCCTATACAAATCCATAATCTAAACTCTTCCTAAAACTACAGCTAAGCCTAATACAACACAACACAACACAGCACCCTAACCTGCCTCTGGTAAAGCAGAGAACCATGGAAGCCAACATCCTGCTTCTATAAAAGGTTGTTAATATATGCGCATTGTACCTATGTTTGATAATTCTAAAATTTACTATTGGAATGTTGTTATATCCACTCTATCAATAATGCTTAAATAAAAAGCTACATTTAAAAAGTAAATGGCTGTAACAAAGTTGAACAAAATGTTCTAAATATCAATTAGAACATATCAACTTATGTCGCTAAATAAAGTTTTAGTATCTGGTTACAATACATCAGCCATAAAGATGTTAATGTTAAACATGTTTATGGTCCTCTTTACAATCACAGAAGATTAATATATAGAAAACATTTTACAGTAACTTTGATACAGGCTAGCACATCATTCTTTACCAAGACAGAGGCTGTAAACTAAATTCAAAGTCCATAATCTTTGATCTGCTATAACAAAAACAGAATCTGAAAGTGACAGTTGTGTTCTGCCACGGGACAAATCTAGGAGAAGAGTTTGAGTAGCTGTGTGGTAAAAGGATTCATAATGTTACATTTCAGTGACTTACTGCTTCTGATTGTGCTGCTGTCCAGTGTTTTGCTGACTGCCCAGGCTTCAGAACGTAAGAAACCTTTGGGTTACTATGCATTATAATTTTAAAGAAACAGTGTTTTGTATAATCCTACTCACCTATTCCTAAAGACAGCTATGTTGGACAACCTTCTAATAGTTAAAGTAAAATATATTTAGAAAAATGAAAAAAAAAACAAACCCAAATGTGACAACGCCGTTATGAACACTGATAATATACATATGTTGTTGTTAATCATTTGAAATTTTGAGTTCTGGAATGTCAAGTGATAAGATTTTATCGAGATGTAGGTAAATGAGAGAGAATGTGTGATTCTATTTTTGTTTGCTGTTGCTGTACTCTGTCCATATAGACAAAAGTACTGCAGCATATACGTTGTCACATGTGCATATAGACAAATTATAAGCTTTACTACAAAAATAGTTACATTTTTTAGTAAATCCAGATAATTTTGAGTCAATTGCATTTAACAGTGAGTTTAAATGAATATGGTGGTCTAGTTCTTACTTTTGGTTAGAAATAATTAAGGATACAAAGTACAAATTCAAAGTTATGGTTTTAGAAGTGCTGTAGCTCCTTATAGGTGAATGGGAAGAAAGTGATCTGAGTTAGCAGATCCAGATAGGTTTTTTTATAAAAAATGTAAGCAGCTAAGCAATATAAAGCTTTATCTGGGTTCTGTTGACATATTTTTGGACAGGATATTTGATTTAACAAAATGGGTTTACCTTTAATGCGCTATTATTTTTATCCCATCTTCAATATCCTTATTGGAGATAAATACTGTGTTGTTTCCTAAAGTCTAGGTGGCATAAACTGTCTTTAGTTTTTAGCTTCCTGATCAAGAGAGTTGTGATATGATTTTTCTTTTACTCCTCACAAATCCAGGGACACTGATAGACGTAATACTTTGGGCAATTTAATTACCATGGCTCTTGGAGCTATGCTAAATAAAGCGTCCCCTCCCCCCACCTCCCAAAACATGTCTATAAATGCCCTTAGGTATTAAATCACAGTACACATGGTAGGTATGATTTACTGACTGAAAGAGAACAAATCGGGAGGTATGCAGAGATTTAGAGTAAAATAATTTGAGATGGTAAGCATTTGTGCCTCAGAGGGAAAAGATGAGATGTCAAATCATTTCAGATCTGTGAATCATTCAGAGAGATAATTTGTCAAGTTTAAAGAATATTTCACGAAGTCTTGAGGTTTTTTCTTTTTTATGCAGGCATATATACAACATGCTCACTTACTATGTTGTTACTTATGTGTGTGTTTGTTTGTTTGTTTGTTTTAATTTACAGCCAATTGCACTAATGTTTCTGACTTTGAAAATTGCACGGGTAATACAGAAGGCTTCTGCCCTAATGGCATTGCTTGTGGGTGTAAAGACCAAAAGCCCTTTTGCAAGTAAGTGTGGGATATACTAAATAAACGTAAAAGTGTCAGTGTATTTTTGCTGATAAAGAAATAATGGACCTTGCATTCTGATCCATGAGGTTGAACTGTTGTCTTGATTCACTTCCTGCAAGAGCAAAATATTCTGATTATGAGACTCAGATTCAGGATCAGGGCCTAACATTGCTGCAGTTTGGATTTTGTTTGTTTGTTTTTTAGCTTGTTTTACACCAACTGAGATGCAAGAATTGCATATACAGTTAAGATTACATATAATAATTAATGATGAGGACCCCGTTTTCATACTCTTATCATAGCCTCAACTGTTTTCTCAATGGAGTGAAATGCTCTGTAAAATTCAACTCAAAGGTGATTTATTTTCAAGCATGATCAAAATGTAAGAAAAAGTCTGATTTATAAGTTCTTAACAACATCCACCTCTTTACTTTCTAAAGTACATTTTTGTTTCAAATACAAATGTAATACCAAATTGTCTTTCCTTATAAGTTAATGACATGCCATGTACTACAGTTAGCATTTGAAGTTTGCTATTACAAAGTATAATTGTTTTATGACTGAATTGCATTAGTAACTGTACAGACTTAAAATTCTGATAAGAAAAACTTAATGTCCTGAATCAAGCCATAATTTTAATCACTTTCAGGATTCAAGCGAAGAATTTCCCTTTGACAATTACAACACTTCCTTATTGCTTAAGCTATAGGCAGAAGTACAGCAAATCCTGCATGCCTAATTTATAGCTCAGCGCAATTTGAAAGTAGCTGTACATTATGTTCTGGAAACTTGATCTATATAACAAATATATTAAATCCACTTGTAAAAAGCTGATCAGTGGAGGGGATGCAACTCTGGAACAAATTTCCATGGGGAATTAGGTAGAATCCAGACTGAACATTGGCAGAAAATGTTACAAATACTTCGTAGTAAAGGCCTTACACTGCAAGACTGCACACAATAGTGACACCCTTTACACTAGGGGTAAGCAAAATACAGCCCACAGGCCAGATCTGGCCCACCAGGTTATTTCCCCTCCCCACCATCCGGCCCATGGGCAGGTGC